TCCCACAGAGCAGTTGGTGGGTTCAAACAACTGACCTTGTTCTTAGTGGCCTAATGCTTTAATCACTGCACACCAGGGTTCCTGTGGTACATATAGCAGAGGGTCAACAAAACCCAGGGGAGTCCTCCACGAGGTGGATGCACACAGAAGCCAGAGCACTCCTGAGGACACTGGGGACCACGCGGGGTGGGGCGATGTTCACTCTGTGGATCAGAGCTGTCACGACCAGAGGCTACTCACAACCAAAACCAGCGATGGCAGCTCAGACACACAGCTCAGACACCCGGCTGGAAAGGGAAATCGCAGAAAGAGAAATGAAGCAACGTATCTGCCCCATCTGGGTTGGGGGAGGGGTAAGGGGGCTTTGAGGGGCCACTCCTGCCTGGCTCTGCCTGAGAGGGCTGCAGGGAGTGGTGACCAGGTGCCGAGGCCACCTCAGAGCCTGCTGTGCTCTTCCGTAAGTGCAGCTACTAGCCAGCCATAACCACAGAGGGGACAGCCTGGTCAGAGAGACATCAGGGACTATCAGAGGCCCAAACGCCTTGTCCCAAAGTCAATCTCAACCCACAGGAGTTGAGAGAGCAGAAATGTAGTCCATGGAGATCTAAAGAGTTGTGCTCTAGGATTTTTCTTTTTAAAACTGTTTTGAGTGCAACTTTATAGAACAGGTTTTCTATTCAATCATTCATACGTTGTTGTTATATGCCATCAAATCTACTGCAACTCATAGCAGCACTGAACAACGGGTCTGAGTCCTGCCCTCCCCTGAGCCACCCTCAGCGTCTCTAACGAACTTGAGACCATTGTTACAGTCATCTCTTTCAATGATCCTCAACCTTTCCAAGCAACATGTCGTTTTCCAAGGACTAGTTTCTCCTAACATGTCCAAAGTGCATGAGAGGAAGCTTCAGCATCCTGGCTTCCACGGAGCACCCGGGTTACATTTGCTCCAAGGCCTCTGTGTTGGTGGTTTGGACAGTACAGGGGATACTCGGCACCTCTCCACACCACAACTCAAAGGTATCGATTCTTCTTCTGTCATCTGATTCACTGTCCAACTTTTAGACACAGCAAGTAACTAAAAAGTGCATGTTTTGGATCCTGTGCACCGTATTCCTTACACTGACATCACATTTCCTCAGTAATTTGGAAAAGTTCCAGATAACAGACTTGGTCAGCGCTGTGCGTTTCCTGGTCTCCTGACTGCTGATATCAGCATTGACTGTGGATCCAAGCCAGATGAAATTGTAGACAATTTCAATCCTTTCCTCATGTATCATGATGTGGTCTATTGGCCCAGTGGTGAGGAATTTTGTTTTCCCGATGCTGAAATGTAGTCCATGTTGGAGGCCATAGTCTTCGAGCTGCCGCAGTGAGCACTGTTAAGTCCTCCTTGCTCTCAGCATGCATTGGAATCAGTCATATAGATTTTGTTTTATGCCATTAACTACAGTCCCCATCTGTCACAGCACCCGTCCCACTTCATCTCTGTGAGTCTCATTTCCATTCATCCTTCTACCTTCCACTTCCTGCTTTTGACACTTTCTCCCTGGACAAAAATTACCTTTTATTCTGCCCCCCCCCATTTTTTCTTCTTTATAATTTATTTTAATGAAATTTTACAGAGACTTTGGATAAAAACTACCTTTTTTAACTTGTATGCTTGATTATCCTATGGGATGAGTCCCTCCCTGGCTTTGCAGTTCACTGCAGAAGCCTGTCCCTTGTTCGGCTGGAAATTGAGCCACAGAGTGAGTTCATTTCCAGACACAAAGGGCACCAAAAGCCACAGTGTCAGGGGTCCTGCCGGTCTCATTGAACAAGCCTGGTAACCCGTGCGCTCTGGAGTTCTGTTCCACATTCCTCCCCCATTGGGCCCAGCACCTCCCTCTGTGGTTCCTTTTAGAACAATCACAAGAGCCATGATCTTAAAGGGGGGAAACTGCCTGTACTCCCTTGCGGGGCACAACTGTCTGGATGTGAACTGCCCACCACGGAGTGGTAGTGAAGCGTGTTAGACACGTGTGCCCCCAGGAGCCTTCCCTGGGGGACCCAGAGCACCAAGGGACACCTGTTCATCATCCTCCAGTCACTAGGGGCCATGGGGTCCGAGGGGTCTCCTCTGCTTCTGTCACCTCCCCCATGAACGCTGTCAACTCACTGCCTGGAAAGTCTCACTTGCCTGTTGTCTCTGCTTGACACCAGGGCCTTCCCGGTCAGAGTTCTGCCTTTTCCTTGGCACCTCCACTCCCGGCCACTCAGTGTGCCCCTCGCTCCTCCCAGACCCTACCCAGGGTCTCAGCCATCATCTTTGCTCCTAAGATCACACAGTAGGCTTTCAAGTCAGTGTCTTGCTCTCCCCAGTGCTGCAGTGCCAGGATGATGCTCTGAGGATGGGAAGATGTCCTGGGCTGCCAATGCACTCCGACCCTCCACGGACACACTGCGGCCAAGCACGTCCAAGGGTGATTTGTCCACAGGAGGAGACGGTCGTTGGGAGGAAGCACCAGCTGAATGTGGGGTGAAACCGCAGCGGAGATGGCGGTGACAGGTGAGCCTGCGGCGTAACTGATCTGCTTCACGAGCCTTCATCCTTTAGAGACGCATGCATCTTCTTTTTATCGTATACTGGTTTATTTACAACGTTTATACACATTGTTCTTCACACTGGATCTTCCCCCTTTCCTTTACCCACAGCTCCCTCCACCCATCAAACTGTGTGACCCTATGATTCAAACTCACCCATCGGTGGGTAGGAGCGTGTGGTATGAATGAAATAAACCACAAGCTGACAAGGGTTGGAGCTGGGTGATGAGTATATGGACGTTTATTTTACTATTTCTATTTTGTTTCTTACATTGTTGTTTGGTGCTGTCGAGCTGATGTCAACTCACAGCGCCTCTCTGGACAACAGGGTGACCCCTGCCTGGTCCTGCGTCCCCTCACCAACTCTGCTGGGCTTAGATTCCTGCTGCACTCACTGGGCCAATCCATCTCCTTGAGGGTCTTCCTCCTCTTCACTGACCATATGCTTTCCTGAGCTCCACATGTCCTTCTCCAGGGGTGGCCACTGATCACAAGTCTGAGATGAGGTCTCCGCCTCCGGGAGCTCTCTGGAAGCACTGCCACTCTCCGCTCTCCGCTCTCCATCAGAAGTGACTGCAGAGATGTTTTGTTTACACCTGCTGAGTTTTCCTAAGTTTTTCCACAAGCTGTAAGGAAGAGCTCCACATTTCACCACAGGGGCACGGTCTCTCCAATGTCCTGTGAGACTGGAGATGAACTCCCTCCTGGTATCTCCTCTCTACATCATCTCCTCCAACTGAATCAACTCACTGTCACATGGCAGCCTCAGTCACCCTTCTCCTCCAATTGCACTGTTCTCCGCACAAACACACACCTGGCTCGGGGCTGTCGCTGTGGCCGCTCCCTTTGCCCCATGTCTTTGCAGCTTGGACGACTCTCTCTCTCCCCCCGTCTTGTCCCAGAACAGACCCCCTTCCTGTGGAGTCGATTCTGACTTGCAGAGACCACATGTGTGAAAAAGAGAACTGACTCTGCAAGGTTGTTTCAACGGCTGGGTTTTCAGAAGTGGATCCCCACTCTGTCATTCTTGGGGGCCTCTAGATGGACTTACACCACCAAACCTGTAGTCAGCAATTAGTGAACTAAACACTGACAGGCACTAGTGCCGCTGCCTCAGCTCCAGCCCACAGGGGTTCTACAGACGACGGACGGGGCACTGCCAGGCCTGTGCCATCCCTGTCATCATGGGGACATTTGAAGCCTTTGTTGCAGCCACTGTTCCAACCCATCTCCAAATACAGTGGCTTCTAAGAGGCCCGCTGACATCACCTATTTAAATTCTAATGACAATGCTTCTTTTCCCTTGACGTCTTATGGGCAGGGACCTCTGTTGTGCTCACAGAACTCTCCAACTTACCTAGAACAGAGTCTGGCACCTCTCTGATGCTTACTAATTACCAGCGAATGGATGCGTTTGTTGAAGGAAGGAGGAGGGGGGAAGAGGAGGAACAGAGGCTGGCCCATCGAGGAAGCGCCCACTGCTCTAAGCTACTGCACCTGTGGTCTCAACGAGATCATCATGGTGCCTGGGCCAGCACCCCACCAGGGTCCAGGGCCCCCAGTCTCACCCAACTGCACGCAGTCACTTGGCTTATGAACAAAAGCATCAGAGAAAGGAAGAGCTCTAGTCCCAAGGCTGCCCATGCCGTCTTTTTATGCCTGTGTCTGCTGGCCCTCTGTCTGTATGCCTTAGCAAAAGATGACTCAGGTTCAAGGGTTAGAGTTCATGTGGACAGAGGTCCTACTATGTGCCAGGCACAATGATGGGAACTGAGAGCACAGAGTGGAGTCCAGGTCCCAGACCAGTTTAGTGAGGAGGGTACACAGCCCATGAGTGTGTCTACATCCTTCTTCCTTAAAACACATGGCTCTGTGCCCACAGCTGCACTTAGCATTGACATAAAAACTCATTTGGGGCATATCATCTAGATAAGGAGGCAGGTGCTGAATTATAGTAAATTAATTCACTAGGATCCATGAGAGACTATGATGTCCAATAACACTGATGCTTAAAGTAGCTGATAGCATGAGAGGTTGCAAGACTTCACCCTGGTTTTTTGGCCCAAGCATCTCTGTATCAGGAAAACGATGCCCAGGGTGGGCCAGCCTGTACACACCACTCCTTCCCCCTGAGCCCCCCTCAGCTAAACCTCGGATCAGTCAGGGATGCAAACATCTGAATTTATGACGCAAAGCAGAAAGCTGACTCATCTTCCTCCCCCAGCTCCCAGCTCCAGGCACATAATACGCCATCAATCCATGTTTGCAGAACTGGATAGAACCCTTCCTTCATCATGGTCCCGGTAGTCATCCCAAATCATGGGACTGGTACCTCCCCCTTGTCTGAGTATCTAACAAAGTGACCCGGGGTGAGAGAGAAATCAGACAGGGACAAGAGAAAACGATTTACTTACGCGAAGACCTGGCAAACCTGGAGGCCCATCCTTGCCTTCTGGGCCGATGAGACCCTTCAGGAGGGGAGCGAGAAAGAGAGAGAGAGAATCTAGTGTTAGCTGCAGCATTCAACACACAAACGAGGCTTTTACAACCCTCATGGGATGGAGAAGTACGAACTTATTTCAATGAGGAAACAGGAAAATTGAGAGATGTAGTATCTTAGTGTCTCAGATATCTATATGTTTTTAAAACAGGAATGCTCACCTTATCTAATGAAATATACATAACAACCAAGGCACAAGCAACCTAATTCATCACCCAGGTGAGAACAGCAGGACCGAATGGCTTGCATTAGTGGTCTGTACAGGGTACACACCCGAGTGTTGTCTGGAACTCCAGCGTCTTTAACCTCAAGCCCATTTCCCATCCTCTCTTACTTCTAGACTCAGAAAGAACCGGCTTGGGTTGTCTCTCAGTCAACAGAGATACACAGAGTACTATGACAGTGTGGACAAAGGGAAATGCCCTGAGGTTAGTTTCAATTAACGAAGGAAATATTGGCCCAGAGAAAAGTTAGAGAGTTCTGACGTAAATTCTGCTTGTCCACCCTCCCAGGTATCTGCTGAATGACCCACAGGACCTTAGACAGACATATGACGTTGGAGAACACTCACCCCCACCCCCAGGCAGCTTTTCCATGAAGTGGGACAATACTCCCGCCTACTGAGTAGCCAGCTGGACTGGTAAGTGAAGGGGGCAGTCAAACCAGCAGCTGCTGCTCCGGAGAAGGATGGAAGGGCCCGCTGCTGAGAGTGGTACAGCCTCGGAGGCCCGACTGGGTGGCCGTGCTCTGTCCTCTAGAGTGGCTCTGAGTTGGAACTGACTCGGCAGTAGGCCATTTGGGTTTCGATTCTAGAGTGGCGGGAAGGACCACGTGGAAAGTGGACACACTAAGTCTTAGCTGATAGCACCCTGACTTATACTTGATTGTCGGCACCAGAACATCCACGGGTTGGAAGTGGACTGCGGAGATCTTTGGATCCATTTCTGAATCAACAACTTGCTGGTCAAATTTTAGCCAGAAACTCTCGCCAGAAACTCTCTCTGTGTACTTCAATTTCCTCATCTTCACCAAATAGAAGAACCACACTAATAGCTTCTGTGGCCAAGTCTGCGTAACTGCTACGTGAACGGCATTTAAAATCCAGAGTCTCTCAGGTGCAGTGCTAACCGGGAGTCAGTAGTTCAAACCCACCAACTTGAAGGTCCAAAGCTGAGGCAGTGCGCTCTATAGCTGACAGCTCAGGTGACACTAGGCGCAGTTCTCCTCAGCCATGTAATGTTGCCACGAGTATGAATCAGTTCAACAGCAACAACGACACTGTCAGCCAGAGTCAAGTGGATGCTGACTCACCTTGACCCATGTTTCAAGGTGGAACTCTGCATTGATAGGGTTTGCACAGCTGTGACCTGTCAGAACGTGGCCAGAAGGCCCCTGCGTGGATTCAAACCACCAACCTTACATTTAGGAGCCAAGATCAAACCATTTGGAACATTCCTGGATTGTTTTTCTCCATGATGGATAAACAGAAGTGCTGTCATTGATGGTGCATGTCTCTCCTCCACGTGAGAGGAGCAGGGTGAACTCAGAGCACAGAGAGAGAGCAGAGACTGGAGGGAGCTGAAACTCCGTGTACGTCATCCACCCACCTGGCCCACCTTCACTGCGGCCAGTAACGCCCGCTTCGCTCTGGGGAAACGAGGAGAAACGCAGGTCTCCGCGGCTCCTGCATTTGGATGCAGAGGGCTGCATGGGCACCGCGCAGAGAGTGAGATCCGTGCTCCTCTCTGGGGCTGCTAAACCGAGCTCAAAATTTTCCATCCTCAACAGCACTAACTGGTGCCAGCTTCCCAATCCGGTTCACTGTAATGAATATTTAGGGAGTAAGAGCTCTGCGCAAAGTCCTGGGCCACAAGCTGCCGGGAGTCCAGAAGGAATGGCACCGACATCAGCACTGGACTTGACGAGGCTTCCTTGAACTCTGCCTTCTGCCTCCTCACTCCTCACGGGCAGGTGAGGCAGGGACATGAGGTAATGACCATCGTATTAATACCTCCTTTGCCATTATCCTTGTGCAGAGACAAACCAAATTAGGAGGATAAGACAGGCTAGGCGATGTTGCCAAAGACTGAAAAGTACTTGGTGGGGAAAACGAGAGATGAGACCAGAGCCTGTAACCTCAAGGGCATTCCAAGGCCATTCAACACTGAAAGGTCGCTTTGGGATGCTCTTGAGTACATCTTGTTGACCATCTATGGCCATGGATGGCGTTCCCATTGGAATACGTTCAGCAGACGCAGAAGATACATTAGTCCTGACCTCAAACACTTCACAGTCGGGGACCTTTCTTTCCCCATTCTTTAACGAGATCTGTGGGCAGGGTCTGAGAGGCAGAAGATTGTCCCGCCACGTGACATGTTGATTTTTCACCATCAGGACGTGTGCAGGACACCTGCTGGGTAGCGTTGCTAAGATGATCCTGAGTGTAGACACACAGAGGGATCCTGACCTCCCTCCCTGTGTCCAGTAGGGTGGGCCATGTTGTTTCCCACATCCAACCTAGTGGGCCAGGCTGTTGTTATGTGTGGTTAACTATAACTCAGCAACCCGAAAAACAATGGCTCTGAACTTTGTCCTAGCCTGTGCCAACCTCATCATGCCTGACAAAGCTGACCCCATTGCCACCGTCACTACGCCAATCCATCTCATCAAGGTTTTCTTCTCTTGCAGACCTTCTACCCTTGTAAACACGATGTCCTTCTCCAGGGATTAGCCCCTCCTGACCACATGCTCTAAGCATGCAAGGTTGAGTTTCACAATCCTTGCTTCCAAGGAGCAACCTAATTTCACCCACTCCAGGACAGACCTGTTTGTTCTCTTGGCAGGCCATGGGATGGTCAATATTCTTCTCCAGCACCACAACTCAAAGGCATTGATTCTTGTTCTGTCATCCCTACTTGCTGTCGAGTTTTCACATGCACAGCAAGTAACTGAGAGGGCCATTGCTTGGATCAGGCACACCTTAGTCTTTAAATTGACATCAATACTCTTTAGCACTCTGGAGAGTTCCTCCACAGAATTCCCCAATGCTATTCATCCTTTGTCTGACTGCTGGTGCCAATGGTGTTGACTGTGGATGTGAATAAGATGAAATTGTTACCAACTTCAATCCTTTCTCCATATGTCATGATGCTGCCTATTGGCCTGGTGGTGGGGATTTTTGTTTTCTTGATGTTGAGATACAATCTCATTGTGTCTATGAGATGGATGCACAGAAAGAGAGAGAGAGAGAGAGAGAGAGAGAGCACAAAACATTGAGAACACGCTGCATCACCCACACTGCCCAGCTCCACTCTCTCACTACTTAGAAGCACATTGGACTGTTCTAGAAACAGAGCCCTAAGAGTTAAGCACCAAGATCCAAGGTTATCAAAATGGAAAGCTTTTTTCTGACAAAGGTGTTTTCATATGATATTGTAATTATAAGGAATTACAGACTCTCTCGGTTCCTTCTAGTAAAGTCTTGTCCATTCACGTTAATGAGGTCGCTCACTCAGTGTCATCGTCAGACTGGGGCTCACAGCCTCTTCCATTCTGGGTTTCTGAGGCTGCAAAGCTTGATGGGAGGAGATCTGTCTTTCTCCCGCAGAGCCGTTGGGGGATTTGAACCTCCAGAGATGCACAGCTTTCCAGTTAAGAGCACAGCATGCTAACGGTTACGTCACCACGCTGGCTATGTTAGTGTAAACGTGACACTTCACATTAAGAGTTGTTTCAGCTGCTTTCTTCTTTCTCTAAAGCACCATTTTGCAAGAGCCAGCAGTGCAAGTCGAGGAGGAGCAGATGGAAGGACGTGCCCGTGGGTCTCACCAAGTTCTTACTGATTATCATTCAAATCAGAACCTGCTCGCACCACAAAATGATCTCGAGGCCCCTCAAGTGGCCTTTCCCGAAGCGGTTACTCATCCTTGCCGTCAAGTCAATCCAATGCCCTGCAGACTGGGCAGAGCTTCCCACAGGGCATCCCTGCCTGTACTCTTCACTGACGGACAGCATCAGGTCCTTCACTCGGGGAGCTACTGTGTGGGTTTGAACTCCCAGCCTTTTGGTTCACTTAACCATTGTGCTACCAGGGCTTCCCTGTGGTTTGTGCTTCCAGTTCCATACCAGAAAGTGCCTGATTTTTGGCAGAGACTCACAGAGCGGGCTTAGCCTTCTCCTCTGGGAAGGGGCTGATGTGAGAGGCTCCTGAGTTGTGCACAGCTCACTGTAAGATCAATTGTTACTTTAGAACTCGGGCTGCTCGGTGCCATTATGCACTGAACTGTGTCTCTGAAAAAGTTCTACCCTCCTTACTGGTGAGCAAGACCCTGTTTGGAAACAGGACCTGTTAAGGTGTAACCAGTTAACCTTACACAAGGCTGCACTGGGGAAGGGTGGTTCCAATCCCACCTGCGTGGTGTCCTTATATAGGAGAGGAATCAGAGACCCACAGAGAGACAGTGCCCACAGGGAGATGTAGTTACAAAGCCAAGAAGGCCAAGAAGTAACCACAACTGGAAGAAACAGGAAAGCTCTTTACAGTGGAGAATGGATGGCTCGGCTGATGCCCTGATTTTGGACTCCTAGAGCTTTAGGTCACTAGAACTTTGAGACAATAAATGCATGTTCCTATAACCACTCTCTTCTTGGTTACATCAGCCTCAAGAACCAACTCATAGACACGGAGCTGGGCAGGAGGGACTCACCGGAGCGCCTGGTGGGCCAGGTGGGCCCTGGTGACCTCGAGGTCCGGGAGCTCCCTGAAACACAGGCAAAAAAGCATGTTAGGCATGACCCTCCCCTGCATATGACAGGTGTTACCACTGATAGCTATCCAACTGGAGGCAACCTTCTCGTTCCTAGAGGGGCCTTGAGCAACATGTGGGCATTTGTTTAGCTGAATGCCAACCTGGTATTTGTCCCAAAGGCCCAACCCAAGCCCACCATGCCCACCGTGCACTCCCACCAGGCACTCCCACCCGCAGGGCTGCAGCCTTTCAAACCTGCTACCACCCAAAGCATCAAAGTGGGGAGGCCCCCTAGCCCCTTACCTGTTCGCCCTTCAGGCCCGCTTTCTGCACCTGGGAGAGAAACAACAGTGGCAAAGAAAGACCTGCACTTTCTCCCAACCTCTCAGCTCCACAGCGTGTGCTCCCAGGACATGCTGGGAAGAAGAAATCTCCACTTTTCCCTAACTTCACCACATTTTTAGAATTACAAGTCTTTGATACAGTTCATGTTCTTTTCTAGACTCAGAAGTAAAAACCTTCCCAATATCTGAATTTCATCCATGGATGAGTCTGTGATTCCAACCAGGACTTACCACAGAGCCTGGTATACCAGGAGGTCCTACAGGTCCCACGTCACCCTGTAAAGAAATAATAGCTCTTTCAGCTGATGTATATTTAAAGGCATCTTCCACTGTCCCCTGTCCCTTTAATATCACATAGGATTCAAGACTCTTGCATTCTCTTATAATTTCAGAAGATAATTCCTCTTTCTGTGTTGCATATAACATCCTATTGATTGTCTGATTCACTTCTTACCAGAATCTCACATGTCCCATGTCTGACTTACTGCTAAATGAAGACTGCAGACTTGCAGGGATTAGCTGCTCTCTTGGGGAGGACCACCATCGTTTCTGACTCTGTCAGTCAAGATACTTAGTTGCTCTGCAATGGGCACACTGTCATTGATTGGTTTTTCTAAGCAGAGTGTCAACTTGTTAGAGTAATTTTAGAAATTTGAGTGTGTCTTGGTTTCCCTTCCTTGGTCATGAGTGAACTAGGAGAAGCCGCTCTGAAGCTGAAGTCTCATCAACTTTATCTCAGCCTCCGAGAGAGAAGGGCCTGGCTTGCTCGGTTGCACCTCCTGAGCCCAGTGCTGAGATATGGTGGGACCTCCATAAACACTGCCTTCTTTCCACAACTGCTTCCTTCTTGGGAGCAGCCTTTACTCACTGTTTGACTCTGTTTGCTTTAACAGGCACCGAGTTAAGCACAAAGGAGGTGGTGAGTACAGCTTATTGCTTCATTCCTGCACCATCTTCAGCACGGGGTCAGTATTCCAACAGCTGAAACCTACACTGTCGGGTCCCCTCCACTTTCACAAATCACTACATAGAGAAGATGTGGCTCATGACTTCTCCTCCTTTGGCACCAGGTCACCTGGTATAAGGTGGCTGTCACTGGACCATATAGTTCAGGTGTGGCCCACCTGTGCTCATTTACAGAGCGCCAAACACATCTAGGCACTGGATAGACATACAGATGAATTAATGCAGCTATTTGTAGCTAATTATTAGTCTTTCTTTTTTTGAGTGTCAGAACTACGTCTTCCTCCTTTGGTTTTTAATGGCTTTCTCAAATAGTGTAACCTTTCAAAGTGGGATATGAGTGAAAGTTTACAAAACAAAACCGATGCTTCTGCGTTCTGCTCTGTATATTCTCTCACTCCTTCAACGACCTCCTATTGTTTTCATCTCAGGGCAGCTGCCAGTGGTGGCAAAGCATCGTCCGATTCCCGAGGCGCTCAGAGCAGCTCGCACTGTGACATCATAGCAGCTGTCATTCTCTCTACTTCTATTCACTGCTGTTCTTATTATACCAGTTTTCAAACAGTAGTTTCGAAATGAACAAATCATTCTAAGTATTTTTATCTTCTGCTAGGTGAGCTACTCAGTATGGGATCAAGTGTTCTGATATATTAAATAATTTATAAGGAAAACTAAGATTCCAGCGTTCATCTATAATTAATTCTGTACATCTGTAGCTAATAGATTTGGAAGATTTTTTTTCCTGTTCTAGAACTTGTTGTAAGGACTTAATCTGAGTTAACTCTTTCTGTGTGGTGTTGTGGTTGTTATGCACTCCTGAGTCCACTGAGACTCTAAGTGACCGTAAGGACCTGTGATCTGAACCTTGTCCTGTCCTGCACCATTCTTACATCTCCAACACGCGCATGCCCCCTGTGTCAGTCACTGTGTCAGTCACTGTGTCCTTCCATCCTGCTGGGGTCTTCCTCTCTTTCTCTGACCCTCCACCTTTTTCAGCACAAAAAAAGATCTCTTTTTTCCAGAGCTGGCCCTGAAAACATGCCCAAAGTGAGTGACACCAAGTTACTTCATCTTTGCCCCAAAGGAAAGCATGGCTGTTTTCATGATGAAACCAGAAAACAAGGTGGTTCTAGACAGACAGCAGTTTGGAACCTCTGCACTGAACGTACCAGAAAACAAATAGATAGGATCTGTCAATAATTCTTCAACCCACAAGTTAAAAGGAAGAGGAAGGATCTCAAACACTGACCGAAGGTAGAAACTAAAGGAAAGCTTTGAACAAGAAGAGGAGCTGAAACAAAGAGCACAGCGAGGCCTCCTGGACAACTGTGTGTGGTGGGAACCTGGGATGGGGCAGCCGTGGTCTCCACAATGGTAGAAAAGCTATCATTTCCTCCTCTCCTTCATGCCCGCTTCCCCTCCCAAATCAGGGAAGTGACTCCCCCTCCTATGATACTGCCTTTCTCAATGTAGTGACAAAGCTTGTTCATGGTTAAAAAACTAGAAATTCAAATAACCAGTAGTTTCTTTGAATCATTTTATTCCATCTGGGTACTCTACAGAGATGCTGTGAGTTGCAATCAACTCAAGATCCTTGAGCTTTTTTTTTTCTTTTTTTCTAGGTAGCACAGTTTTCTAATGATAAAGTTTAGCCATGTGGTAGCTAGCCACCAAGATGGTCCTTGTTGTGGGCTGAGTTGTGTCCTTATAAAGGATATTATCAAGTTCTAACCTTATGATCGTATTTGGAAACAAGGTTTTTGCAGATGTAACTGAGTTAAGATGAGGCTGTTCTTGGGGAGGGAAGGCCTTAATCCAATGACTGATGTCCTTGTAGGAATAGGAGAATTTGGACACGGGGACACTGGAAGGATAGACACGTACAAATGGGAGATACCATGTGAATTCAGAGGCAGGAACTGGAATGACCCAGCCATAAACAATAGAGTGTCAGGGTTTTTGGTAACCAGCAGGATTGGGGAAGGGAGAAGGAAGAATCCTTCTCTATGACCTACCGAGAGTGGGGCCTGCTGCCACCCCAAGTCACACTCTTGACTACCTTCCAAGCAGCCCGAGTGGTACAGTGCATGGAATATTGGGATATTAACCAGAACACAGACCCTTTTACCTGCCAGCTGGTCCCTGAAAGGAAGGTTAGGGTCCTGTAAGGAGTTAGAGCCATGGAGAGCCTCTGTGGCCACTCCCCTTGGTCATACAGGGCCTCTCTGACTTGTTATAAAGCCTCTCAGACAGCAAAGGTCCACGGCTGTTAACATCTGAGGTTCAGCACTGGATAGCGAGGGAGATTAGCCAAGTTTCAGACTCTGGTTTATAATCAAATCCATTGTGGGGTCTTGTGCAAGACCCCAACCTTTCTGCGTCTCTGTTCTCACACAGCGGATTGAGGATGTTGAGAAGGACCCGCTGGCTGGCTCCCGTGGCTTTTCCAAACACTGTCACATCCATCACTTGTTTCAAGGATGTTCTCTCAGAACGAGCTGAGTATCACTGGTCTCCTGATGATTCTGATAAAAGCCTCCACATAACCCATGGCCCTGAGCTTGTACGCCCAACTCAGATTTATCATGACACAAAAGTAAAAGCCCAAAAGAAAACACAGCTGTTGGGCCAAATCCAAAGCAGGAGTGCCCTTAACGGGCAGAGGAGAAACATGCCACTGGCTTCTGAGGCTGCCCCTGTCCACAGATGCAGATGACCTCATCTTTACCCTGTGCAGCACTTGGTGGGTTCAAACCTCCAGTCATCAACCTTGGGGCTAGCAGTCCAGTGATCTGACAACTGCACCTCCAGGGGTCTTTTCACAATGACAAACAACAAGAACTAATCTACTTCCCCAACAGGAGGACAAGAGAAAAACAATCTATACATGAGACAAAATCTTTAAAGGGTCAATCAACACATATATGTGCGTATGCAGACACACAGAACGGAGCCGTGGCAGAAAACAGAACCATGGCTGCCGACCAGCCTTCGGGGTCCGCCCCCCCTCCACCTTGCTAACGAGACAAATGACTTATTTCAGGATTTAACATCCCCTGTCAGAGAAGTGCGAGGATATATTAAAATCCTGACACCAACCTGTAAAGTATCATGAGTCTCTGAGTTTAAGAGCTATTTCAAAATGTAACAATGCAGATCTCGACTCTAAAAATACTCTGAAGGAGAGAGAATAATTAGCTCAGCCCGAACTGAAGCTGAAGCTGCGGGTGTGTGGAAGCTGTTGACGCCCGTCCGGTCCCCAGGCGAGCGCTTTCAGCACGCACTTATTTACTTATTTATAATGTCTACCTGTCTGGCTCGGCAAAGACAGAGAGCAGCTGTCTCCTTCTCCTTTATTTCAAGCACAGCCCGAGTCAGATGAGACCTTCACCTCCACCTCCAAGGAGATGCTCCATCAAAGTGGCCCAGCACCCTCATCTAGGGGGTTCATCCTGCTCCCAGAAACTTCCTCTCTCCACAACTGTTCCCTAACCCGGTGTCTGTGGCCTTTCTTAAGGGTCTGTCCTGGAGCCTGGAAGGCCGTGGTCCTCTGGTCTCAGACACAGGCTGTCTCCTCCACACACCTCATTAAACCCAGACCTCCTCCTACCCACTCCCCCTGCCCCCAGTACGCCCAGCGGGGCCATTGTATTCACAGGCACGGCCACACATTCCACAATCTGCAGAGAATTTGCACACACAGTTATGTCGGTTGAGGTGCAGAATTCTAAACAGCAGGCTTATTTGTATAATCCCTGCTGGAAAAATCAGGTGTCCTGAGGGGCTTAGTGATTAAAGCACCTGACTGTTGACTGAAAGGTTGCCAGTTCATGCCTGCCTGCAGCTCCTTCCCGGGAGGAAGCCGGGACAGTCTGATTCTGTAAAGATCACAGCCTTGGAGCTGAAGGGGCTGGTTCTAAACTGTCTCTTACAGGATTGAACTACGAATTGGAATCCACTGGGCAGCAGGTTTGGTTTTAGTTTTGTTGAAAAATGTTCTCAAATAGATGCTCATTGTAAGACATACCTTTTCTTTCTTTTTTTTCTTTTTTTTAAGACATACCTTTTCTTTCACTTATTAAAATCTATTATGTTCTCATCGGGATTACTATTCTGATAAAAATATGTAAAATAGTGGTGGAGAAGAAAGAAGGAAATTAGGAGAGGAAGAGAAGTTCACAGGATGTCTCGTGTGCGGCCCTCCTCATCCAGACGACCCTTAGTAAGAAGGGCACGATTTTTCAAAGTTCGGGATTTTCTCTAAGGACCCCACAATGAATGTTCACTCTTAAGAGCAAAAACCATAGAGGTACAGAGAAAATCAGAACATTTTAAACGCTGGATTCTTGATGCCCAGCATCAAATTTCAAAGAAATCCTGTGGCACAGCCCTCTCCTGACCCTCCCGCAGAGTGTGTGTGTGTGTGTGTGTGTGTGTGTGTGTGTGTGTGTGTCTATGTGCACACATGCACACACAGACACACACACACACTTAGGGGGTGAGTGGGACACACATGCCAAAACATTCATCAGTTCCTCTCTACACGTGAAGCTAATTCCATTGATTATATCCTTCGTACTGTACAGCCATTATCTTTATTCTTTTCCAAGTTATTCCAGCATCATTAGCATGAATGCGAGGCTCCCAAAGCAAAGACCTCCCCCATCGCCTTCCCAGCTCTGGTAACGACTACAACCTTTAGTTCCCATTTACTTTCTCATTTCATGTTCATGAACTCATACAGTGCTTGTCCTTTTGCCATGCAGTTTATGTAGCCAGGCTCCGCCACACGTGGGCTGTATCAGAACCGAGCAGGATCATCTGCAGAGCTCAACCCCAACTCACACCCTCCAGATGCACCTCGTTTCCAGCACAGAGTCCCTGCCCCTTACCTTCTCTCCTTGGGGACCTGCCACGCCGGGAGGACCAGCTCTCCCCTGGAGGAAATGAAGGAAAAGGGGGTCAGTGAAGCTAAGTAGAGAAGAAAGAGGCCAAGGGGCAAGTCCAGTTGTGGCTCAGCTTCCCCAGAAGCACAGATCCTGAAGGCCAGGCTTTCTGGATGGTTCTATTGCTAGAAAGTGCTTCCTCTCACTGACCAAGCTCCACTGCTCCATCTTCCCCCTCTTTGAGCTCACACTGGTGCTTCTAGGAAAAAAGGATCATAAAAGCAAAGACTCTTAAAACTCCTAAGGTGGTCCCCAGAGACCCCCTGGCTAGCAGGCAGGTGGGGTGGACTGGATGTTCCTTGGAACCAGAGCATGTGGAGGCCTAAGCCTGACGGGTCACAAGGAAACCCACAGAGGATTGTGAGGACAGGCAAAGTCTCTGAGCCGCAGAGACAACAGAGATCTCAGAGATGGTCCCAGAGGGTTCCAGAGACCTGGGCCAAGGGATGCTACAAGTATCCCCTCCTCCTCTCCACTGGTCTCACAGGGAAGCCTGATCAGGAGACCAGCCATCTGACGGGAGAGGAGAGTGATGAGAGACCCTGCGAAGAGATGAGCACAGAGTTGGGGACAGTCTGCTGGCAGAAATGAGGATGGGGTTGGAAGAGAGGGACAACCCATGTCCCGGCGCCTCTGACAAAGTGGGCTCTTATAGGAATTTCTCTTCATGATATAATGATAGACACTCCTAGACAGAGCTACCCAGCATGCTCTTGGTTTCTGCACTATAAACAGGAACCGGCTAAGCCCACCTAGGTGCCTCATGGCAGAAGCAGCCACCTCCACGATGCTCCTCAGACCCATCTGTTGTCTCCACACCATCACGATTCCGTCCATACGCTGGTGTAGGTTTCCTACTTTTGCAAACTTTTTGATGGTATTTGGGTGGAAGTTCACAGACCAAATTGTCCTTGGTTTTCCCCCAACAGTTCACACCACTTTGTCTTGCAGCATTGAGGCATCACCCACAATGCCTCACTCTCTTCCACTCCCTCCCTCTGCTTCCTGTGCCGATTCTCGATTCTCCTCCTCCCCTCCCGTCCTGCTGTCTGAGCTCTATCCGTCAGGCACCGTCCTTTTAGTCTCAAGCAGTTGAAGTCATCTGGGTTGCTGTGATGTTGAACCTTGTACCATTGGGGTATCAAATACCAGAGTGGTTTTCCAATGTGGACAGTGTTTGGTGGAGCTCCCAGTTGTAAAACAGGTTTGGACGCAGGAGAGTGGCATCCACTTCCTCAACCACATGCCTCTGGAAACTCTATGAACTTGGAGAAACGACGACAGTTATGGAAAGGCATTAGGTCTTTTGTTCATTGAGTCGCTATGAGTTGTGCTTAACGTGACGGCAATCAACAACAACCAGCACCTGCCTGGTGTCACCGCTCACCTTTTAGGCCAGTCTACAGGACCTAAGGTCTACAGGCTCGGATCCACTGCGCACAGGGTTGCTATGAGGTACAGTCAACTCAATGATGCCCAACAACAACAGAGAGCCTGGCTGGAAGTGGGTCCAGAGGGGTGAGTCCAGCTTCAGGCCTGAAGGATGTCCAAGGGCCCCACCAGCCTCTCATTCCTATGTAAAATGTGCCCACCACGTGGGAAGGCCTTTGCTTTTCCTGTCTCTTGGTAGGAATCCCTATCGTGATGTTGCCCATTGGTCCAAAGGTCCTATGACTTAGTATAAAGGGGCTGTACAACAGTATATTCTCTGGGATCCGGCCACATGGGCATCACAAGGGCAACCTGCTCCTGGAGCTCTGGGTGAGCTTTAGACTCGGGTCAGGACGTAGCCACTCCTGCTGCCTGGCAAAGCCCCGCTACCAGCATCCACCACCTACCTGCGGTCCTGCCTCTCCTGGCTTCCCGGGGAATCCATCCAGGCCTCGTTCCCCCTGGCAAAAGATGATGGAGAAATGAAAAAGGAGCAGGAGTCATTGGGAAGAAGCCAGCTGGACGCCCTGCAGTCCCATGTGGAGAGGAGCGAGGAGCCGAGGCCTGTCATGTTTCAACACACACAGTGTCCACTCTCGGCCAGCGAGCTCTGTCCACCCTCTACCAAGCAGCTCCAGATCCACACTCACCGCCTGCTCCTACCAGCCACTTCTAGAACCACACTCAGCGTCCTCTCCTGACCAGCCACTCCTGGATCCACCATTATTCACTCTCTACCAGGTGTCTCAGATCACAGGAGAGGAAAAAAGCCCACAATGTCCATGAAGTAAAGAGCATTAGGGGTCAGAGACCAAAGAAACACGAGCTCAGTGGAGGTGCTGGCAGTGTGGCTGGGTCCCCTGACCTGTCACCGTGAGCTGGAATCAACAGTAATGGGAAAAACAAAGAATAGATGTGCAGAACCAACCAGTGAGGGAGAGAAACCATGATTGACAGGAAGGCACGAGCAAGGATGGAAGGTTGTGGGACATGTGGGTGAAGAAGGAACAGACGGGATGAGAGGAGAGATGAGTGAGGAGTTAAGAGACCTGGTTCTAATCCAGACTCCGTCAGTCACAGGGGGAACGCAAGACATGAGAACAGCCAGATGCACCACAGGGTGTCTGCAGTCATGCAATCCTTTTGCTGAGAGGGAGGCATCTGAGGAAGGAAGGCTAACCAACCCTTGTCCCAAGTCCCTCCTGGTCTAATCAGTTCAGTCTGTTCACAGTTGTTTCCTGGATAACTGCTATTTGTTATTTAAAAACAAAACAAAACAAAAACGGAAACAAAATATCCTAATAAATTTGCCTGACTCACCTCGCCCCTGCACATTGCCACAGCCCCATGCACATCGCCACAGCCCCACGCACATCACCACAGCCCCACGTGCATCCCAACAGGACAGCACTCCATAGCTGAGTGTCTTCTCTACACCAAGCAACGACTGAAACACTGTCTGGTTTAAGATTTACTACTGAAGAGCAATGGTGTCTCCCTGGAGACTAAGGTGCGGCTGATACAGGCCACGGTCTTCACAATCACTTGTTATGCATCAGAGAGTTGGACAATGACTAAGGAGGATAGAAGGAAAATTGATGCCTTTGAGCTGTGGTGCTGGAGAAGAGTACTGAGAATACCATGGACTGCTAGGAAAACAAACAGATTTGTCCTGGAAAGGGTTAAACCGGGTGGCTCCTTGGAGGCAAGGATTCTGAGGCTCCGTCTAACATACTTTGGACATGTTGTGAGGAGAGACCGACCAGTCCTTAGAGAAGGACATCATGCTTGGGAGGGTGGAGGGACAGCGCAGGAGGGGAAGACCCTCTATGAGGTGGATTGATTCAGTGACTGGGGTAATCAGGATGGGTGTGTCTGAGGCAGTGCGATTGGCACAGGACAGAGCAGGGTTTAGAGCTGTTGTGCATAGGGTCGCTATGAGTCACAAGTGACTCGACGGCACGTAACAACAACAACAACAACAGTAGTTCCTGTTCTTAGTGAAGACTACCAAGCCTCAGAAAACTGAGTATATATCATGGTTGTTCACACATTTCAAAGGAAGGCCAGGTACTCAGATCCCAAACCAGACTCCATGCCATTCTACCCCAAGGCCGTCTAGCCACGCAGCCCTTGAATCCTGCAGCAGAGGGCGCTCGTGCACTACTAGTAGACACAAGTGCCTTTCCTGCTCTAAGCTGGATTTTAGATTGATTTGAGATGATTCTGAAATCCTGATGTCGGCCAGCACCCCAAAGGCAGGAGGAGGTCTGAGGGCTGTTACTGTCTCTCCTCTCATATCAAAGAATCACACTGATAGAAAGTCTGTTGTTGTTTGTTGTTAAGTGCCATCAAGTTGTAGACAACTCGTAGAAACCCTGTGAACGAAAGACCCGAACACTTGTATAACTTACATCGTTTCTCCAAGTGCAGAGAGTTTCTGGAGGCTAGCTATTTCGGAAGTGGATGCCACTCCTGCTTCCAAGCTTGTTGTAATCCGGGAGCTCCACCAAACACTGTCCGCCATGGGTGACCATTCTCACATTGGACACAAACCCAAGAGACATAGACAGTTGTTTCCACAGAAATGGCCAACAGCCCTATTTGATGTTGTCCACGACTCTGGACAGTCTCTTCAGCTTTCTCAGTGCCCTGCTGTGACATCGCTGCCCCAGTTCTGGCCCCATGGCTTCATGTCCTGCACAAAGCACGGCCTGCATCGGCTCCTGCCTGCTCTCCCTGCCTCCATCATTGCTCCCAACCACTGTCCAATCTATCTTCCCAGTCCATCTGCGGTTTCCAAGACAGTGATTTCATAGCAGGAGATTACTCCATGTTCCTCCCACAGAGCACCTGCTGGGTTCAAACCACCAGCCTTGCAGCTAACACCTGATCACTTCACCATTGCTCCAGCAGGGTTCGGATGTATTTCACTCACACAGTTGTGAGGGCCAACATGTCCAAGTCCTGTAGACAGACCAACAGGCTCTGCCCTTGGTAGGAGCTGAAGTTGCAGTCCTGAGGGGGAATTCCTTCATCTTTGTTCTTAAGGTTTTCTGCCTGATTAGCTAATGTTCACCCCAGGAGATGCAATCTCCTTTTCATAGGGTTTGGAGATGTTAACCGCTTTTATTAAGTATTTCACAGTAACAACTAGACTAGCGTTTGTCTAAATAACCGACCACACTGACACCCTGAAATGAGCCACCCCAGTTTCTACCACTTCAATTCTGCCCACCCCAGTCTCTCTTCTTACAGGGATCTGCTCCTCAATGATGCCCTCGCATTCGAATGTTGTTGTCAGCCATTCATTTACTCAGCAAAGATTTGCTGAGAGCCATCCACGTTCCTGCACCTCACACACGTACCTTTATCCAGGGCAGGGTTTGGTTTCTAGACATCTGTCTGTCCACTAAGCTCTCAGGACCTTCAAGATAGAGGCTGGACCTCAGTTTCCCCTGGAGGGCCTGGACTTGGCCCAGCACCTCCCACACAGCAAGAACGCAGGAGCTGATGAGCAAAGACCTAATGCCTGTTCAGAGCCCCAAGGCTAGAGGATGACCTTGTTCAGATCCTTTGAATGAGTCACTATCTGTGCTGGTAAGGTTGCATGTCAACTTGGCCAGGCCAGCATTCTAGGGTTTGGCAGTCATGATGTGGTCATTGCCACAATGAGATCTGATGTAATGCAAATATCTCCACAATGAGATCAACAGTGCATAGCCAATCATTACAAAGAGTTTCATCAGGGCTGTGACGTGATCCCACTATATGCAAATGTTCCAGCCAAGGTCTCTGTCTTTGCTTCACCTAGATTCCGCATCTGGCCCATCATCGCCGAGCCTCTGCTTCTTGGGATCTGAACCAGCAGCCTGCCATATTGCCTGCACACCTTGGGTTCATTGTCAAGAGAAGCCTCCAGCCTGATGTCTGCCCCATGACTCTGGACTTCGCAGCCTCTACAGTTGTGTGAGTCATCTCCTCGAGACAGATCTCTCCCTGTACACACAGATAAAAGCTTCACTAATGCTGTTTCTCGACAGAAGCCAGCACAAGGCAGAAGCTGCGCTCCACACACCGAGCCCCCAGCAGGACTCAGAGCTGAGTTCATCAGCCTTTGGACATCAGGCTTCAGCTGTCCTCTTGCTTCCCAGTGTGTGTCTCCTGCTTGAGCAAGTCCTCGAGTCCTGCTTGCTTCCTCTCAGGGGTTCCACGTCAGAGCCTGGAGCAATTGCCCACCAGAACCCCGCATGGTGTTACCCTCAACCCCTCTGCTTCCCACCTGAGCCCTCATTCATTCCAAAGCCACTTCCAGGCCTCCAGGCCAGGACCAAGAGCACAACGACCCCATGATGAGATCTAACTGGATCTACGGACCCAAATCCAAATTCTCCAAAGAACCAAGAAATACCAAGTCTCATCTATCCTGAGGTGAAGATTATTTGCTTATTAAAGTGACAACGATTAATATTTAATATGCAAACAAAGCAAGCCCCTGTTTTGGAGCCTGGAGCTGGGAAAACACTCCCACTTCCTTTAATTAGAAGGAACCTTTTGGAAACAACATGGTCATGTGCTTCTGGAGCCAAAAAAGATTCATTTTCTCGGATCAGTAATTTCACTTGCAGGAAACTAGCCTAAGGAAACACCCTAAATTTGAGAGAAGAAGCAGAATAAAACAAAATCTAGGTTTTAAAATGTTCACCGAAGCATTATTTTTAATAGTGGAAAAACTGGAAGCAGCCCTAAACAATCAATAAGAACAGAGCATGGCACATAAATTCCGGTTTACTCAGTCGTCGGAACACTGTGCACTCATTTTAAATAGGTTATAAAAACGCTGTGGCAGCAGGTTGAAAACGCTGTAAGCAGGGAGACGCACGCGGACACTGAGGTGGCCATTCTGAGGGTGACGGTGCAGCAATAAATCAGCTGCGGACGAGAACGACTCAGGGAAGCATGCCAAGAAAGGCCCTGCCATCACACTCTGCCGGCGGAGTTACACACCGCTTTGCCTCTAGTTCCCAAACACACGGAAATACAACTCGATTGCTTGGTGAGGAAAACAAGCCTGATAAAGGTAGAGAGGAAAGACCGCCTGGGTAGAACGCACACGTGGGTGGAGAGGAACCTCCGACTGCAGCAATCGGCCCTGTGCAAGTTCACAGACCTCTAGACACACCCATACACACACCTGTGTACGCTGGAAACATACACGCACTGCAGACCTGCACACACCTGCACACAACACAGTTGGAATACATCCATTTTCTTCTCTTTTTTCCGTGTGTGTGTGTGTGTGTGTGTGTGTGTGTACTGTCAAATCAGAGCTGAGTAGTAAAGGAGGAGATTGTCCTGCCTTCTGCAGCAGAGCATCTGGTGGATTTGAACCGCTCACCTCTGGGATTGCAGTGAAGCTTCTTTCCACTAGGCCACCAGAGCTCGCCTAATACACCCATTTTCACACACTTGTGCACACCTGTTCTTGCGTACACAGAGATATCATGAACACATACACAGGAGGCTTGTATACACGTGTATACACACCTGCATGTACCTGCATGCACACACACGCCTGTGCACATCCAGCTATTCACACACAGCTCATTCACCAGCATATGCTGGCACTAAGCACCTGCACGTACCTGCATGTACCTGCGAACACCTGCGCACACACATTTATACCTGCACAGCACACTCTTCTGCACACTTCTGCATGCATGTATCTGTACACACCTGCACACCACACCCATCTGCACACTCCTGCATGTACCTCACACACCTGCACACATATTTATACCTGCACACCACACCCTTCTGCACACACATGTGCACACCTGCACAACCCCCACTCAGCACATGCTGCCAGTATGACGTGGACTGTAAATACCTTTTCTCCTCGGGAGCCCTTTTCACCACGCTCTCCTTGGAGACCCTGGGGACAAGAGAAGAGGGATGACAACATTCGAGCCTGGCTTCTCTGTTCTCATCATCTGAGAGTTCTAGCCACTGCCTGGCCACCCTCGCCCAGGGCATGGGCAGGGCGGCAGGCACGACCTCATCCTGTAACGTAGGAAAGCCTGGAGCCTTCCCTCAGCACTGGCCTCTGAGCAGGCTCGTTCCTCAGGGCTGAGAGCTGAGCGCTAGTCCCCTGGCCTGGATTACCCAGGCCACCCCATCCACAGACAAACTCAGCCTGGTTCCCGAGCTCACTTCCAGGGTGCAGTGGGTGGAACAGCATCAGTTAAAAATGTCATCATTGGATCAAGTATGAGAAAGCCCTGTGGTGGTAGCTAAAATGCAGTCTGGGCACTGCCCACCTGCAGCTCCACGGTCAGGAGTGGGACCCTGGGAAGGCACTTCAGACCTGCACTTGGGGAATGCATTCTGCTCTCCTAACGTCACTGTCATCAGTGTGGTACCCAGACGGATCTCTGCACGCCTGCCAGGTTTCCATGGAGACAGCCACGGTTCCCAGAGAAGGGTGAGACTATCCCCCAACCTGACAAGGCCTCTCACTCACAGGAGCTCCGACATGTCCAGGGGGTCCCGGAAGTCCAGGGGGTCCCTCGGCGCCCTGCAGAGGTTATTACAGAGAAAAGATTTTGGCATGAAGAGAACACTAAAGATCTGGTGTGAAAAACAATGTATATGAACTTATGAGCTTTGTATGTAAGCCAGGATAAAACTAAAAAGGAATCGTTTCAAAAGCATCCGCTCTCCAACTGGCAGTCCGACCCCCAATGTGCCGTGCCACCAGGGCTGCTCAACCCGTGCCATACGACACATGTTGGGGAGCTCCGGGGCCGCAGGCCACGCGGGGCTGCATGCAAACCCAAGGCGGTGATTCTCTGGGTCAAATCCAGCATCTCTGAGGGAGAGAGAACGGACAATCTCCCCGCCTGTGATTTACAGCCACGAACCTGCTGCAAGGTCAGGGACGAGTCCACTCTGACTCAACGAGAAGGTTGTTACACTTTTGTGAAGAGACTGAGCTGAAATCTGTTACCATCGAGTCAATTCCAACTCACAGTTACCCTGGAGAACGCAGAGGGTTCCGAGGCTGCAATCACAGAGAAACATTCCGCTACGTCCTCCTACAAATCGCCTGATGGATTTGAGATGCTGAGCCTCTGGCTAGAACCCAAAGACCTTAACCACCAGCTGTTCCGCTGTAGACGCTGATAACCACAAACTGGTTTAGATGTTAATGAGTAACATCAAATTATTGTAGTAGCCATCATGACTCAGTGCTTAACCCTGTGCCACCAGGCATCAGACACTGAGCTGGAGAGGTCTCATCAAGGTGACAGGGGCCTCTGATCTCATGACATGAAAACGACAAAAGGCGGAGTAGGATACGATCCATCAGGACCGATTATAGGAAAAGCTGTCTATGTGGATAGACACACAGTGTAGATACAATTGAGGGGAGGCATGGAAACCCAATTAGACATCCCTCCCCCACGGGAAAAAATGGTACCCTGACCCGAGGCTGGTCCCGAGACACTCACCCGCATGCCCACCTCGCCAGGAAGCCCCAGCTCGCCCGGCTCTCCTGGTTCCCCCTGCGTGCAAAACAAACAGGACATGGTCAATTCAGAGACACAGAGCCCAGTCTACTCAGGGTTGCCTATGGGGTACCCACTTCCTGGAACCCAGAAATCACCCCAGAAACAACATCCTCACGAGCACAGGCCCAGGCTGTCCTGGAAAGGCCTTCTGTACAGAGGATCTGCGTCTCTTGTGCAGAGGGCTCTGCTTCTCTCACTGCTGCTGAGCCCAGAATTCGCAGAGCCCCCTGCCACAGGAGAAGGGGTCTAGCTCCTTGGGGTGGGACACTGTGAGGTTGCCCAGTCATTCAACGTTCCCTCCTGGTCCAGACCCCAGACTCTCACCCTGAGGTGAGAGAGGTCAGTGGGTACCCACACCTCAACGTCTTCCTCTGAGCTATTCACACATGGATGAAGACGACAGAGCGGTTAAGAGAGGGGAACTTAGCGCCCATTCTCATCGGGGTTATCGGTGGGAGAGCACCAGCCTTTGTTTCTCAGGGCAGGTGGACCTCAATGTGAGACACCTTTGTGCCTCAGTTTCTCTGTATGCTCTGACTCAGAGGAAGGCTAGTGGGAAAGGCGGAGTCTGGGGCACCAGTACGGGTGAGGCTGATGACCATGCGGATGTGGGTGTTGCTGGGCTGATACGGGGCCTCCTCTAGCTAACAGCCCTGCACTGGGGCTGGACAGTGGGCACTGGGAGGCAGGCTGCTGGTCAGCCAGGTGAGACGAACGCTCAAAGGACAAGCATGGAAGGTACATGGCAGCTGCTGCTGGTCCTCCAGTGATAAGAGTGCCCCCAGGACCTCCCAGACCCAGTATCAGGAGCTCAGGTGTGAGGACCCAGGACCCCCGAGACCCGGTACCAGGAGCTCAGGTGTGAGGACCCAGGACCCCTGAGACCTGGTACCAATGAGCTCAGGTGTGAGGACCCAGGACCCCTGAGACCTGGTACCAATGAGCTCAGGTGTGAGGACCCAGGACCCCCGAGACCCAGTACCAGGAGCTCAGGTGTGAGGAGAAGAAGGACACCAGGACCATGACTCCAGGCCAGGCTCGGGCCCCCTCTGCCAGCACAGGCAGCACCAGCCCTGCCGCCTTCCTCACCAGAAGAGGGGGACAAAGAAAACGCACCCTCATGCCTTTGCTGCCGTCTCTCCCGGGGGGTCCAGGCAGGCCCAGGGAGCCCTAGGATGAGAGAAAGAGAACAGCAATCGATAAATAACAAAACCATACTGGAGTCTGTGGGTGGTACAAACAGCTACCATGCTAGGCTGCAGGTTTGAGTCCACCCCGTCACCTTGGAAGAAAGGCCTGACAGATACCAACACTGACACCCACACAGGGGCCTGGAGGTGTCGCTCGATGGTGGAGCGTGGCGTCTCTTGAGCCACAGATCCACGGTTCAGGTTTCATTCCTGGTCCCAGCGAAACCTACATGGACTCAGAATTAGCCAGGGCAGCAGCAACTGGGAGAGGCCCCAGTGTCCCGGATGCTGGAACGGGCAGAAAGTACCCGCAGGAGATTCTGGCCTGTCTGCAACTCCAGATGTTTCAAAGAAGAGGACAGTCAAATGGCCATCAAATATATATGAAAAGATTCCCAGCATCTTTAGCCTCCCAGATGTCAATAAAATCCACAAAGAGACACTATTTTACTCCCTAGAAGAGGTTGAAGAACAAGAGAAGGGGGGAAAATATATATATATATATGACCTAAAACCCAGAAAATGAATCTTGGCTCTTGGCAAGCATGTGGGGAAATTGGAAGCTTTATCTATCACTGGTGTGAATGCAGAATGGTGCAGCTGTGGTAGAAACAGTCCTGCAATTCCTCAGAAAACTGAAAATAGAACTACTGTAGAACATACAATTCCACCACCAGGTATAAGCCCAGAAAACTGGAATCAGAAACTCAGGAAGAGGCTTGCACACCAATGTTCATTCCAGGACTGTTCACAATAGCTAAAAGGTGGAACCACATAAATGTCATCAACAGATCCATGGATAAACAAAACACAGTCCATACATGCAATAGAATACGTCTGAGTCAGTGGGAGAAATGAAGTCAGGACACACTCAGCAGTATGGATGGGGCTGAAATACATTAAGCTGGGTTAAGGAATAAGCCAGTCACAAAGAAACAAATATTGCACGGCGTCACTTACATAAAAGGATGGAAACAAAGTTTATTGCTCATACCAGGGGTAGGGTACAGGGGGAAGCAGTTAACAGAGATCGAAAACCCACACTGGGTATGGTGTCAGGTGCACAATTCTTATAATCATGCCAACAAGCTATACACCTGCAAGACGCTGAGTTATGGAATTAGATACAGTCACAAAGACAGAAAAGGTAGCTGCAGAGGCAGCTTATCTACAGTGAAACACTTTATAGGATTCAGGTTCTTGGTTCAGGGCCAGAGTTTCATGGGACATCCAGTTAATTACCTAATAATGGCATGAGTGCCTTTCTTCTGATCATCTTTTCTCCATCTATTTTGATGATCTCCATCTATGATGATGTTGCCTATAGTTTCAGTGGTGAGAAGTTTTGTTTTCTTGATGTTTAGATGTAAACCATATTGAAGTCTAGTCTTTGATCTTCTGCGACAAACACATCAAGTCTTCCTCACTTTCAGCAAGCAAGGTTGTGTCATCTGCATAACACTGGTTGTTGATGAATTTTTCCTCTGATCCTGATGCCACATTCATCTTCATAGAGTCCAGCTTCTCCAGTGATTTTAGACTTAAGGATTTTTAGGTCAGCATACAGTCTAAATAAGTGTGGAGGGAGTCTATAACCCTGCTCACACCTTTCTTCATTTTAAACTATGCAATGTTCCCTTGCTCTGTTCACACAACCACCTCATGGTCTAGACATAAGTTCCACATGAGCACAATTTAAGTATTCTGGCATTCCAAATATTCTCAGTGTTAGCCATAATCATAATTTGTTATAATACACACAGTCTAACATCTCTGCACAGTCAGTAAAGCAAAAATAGACATTCTTCTGGAATTCTCTCATTTCAGCCAGAATCCATCTGACATCAGCAATGACTCCCTTGGTGCCATGATCTCTTCTAAATCCAACTTGAACTTCTGGTAGTTCTCTATCAATGTACTGTTCTGTTTTTTTGAAATGATTTTCAGCAATATTTTGCCTGCATGTGATATTAATGATACTGTTAGATAATTTCTGCATTATTCTGGATCACCATAAGGATCTCTTCCAGGCAGTCGACTAGGCAGCTTTCCTCCAAATTTCATGGCATAGACTGGTGAGCACGTTCACGGCTGCATCTGTTAGCTGAAATATGTCAGTTGGTATCCCATCAATCCTTGGGTCCTTATTTTTTGCCGTTGTCTTCAGGGCAGCTTAAACTTCTTTAACCATGCTTTGAAGAGGGTCATATTACTATGAGGTGCTCCTCAAGTCATGAATTGTATTTATTCCCCAATAAACCCCTTGGTTCTATTTTTAAAACCAAAACAAACACAACAACAACAACAACAATCTTGCCAGTCCCCAGGCTGAAGGGCAGGGTAGCGTGCAGGAAGGCAGGCATCGGCTAGCGGTAAGCAGTACAGATTCTCAGAGCACACATTTGAACGTACACGGGACAGCACGAGCCAGGCTGGCCCTGGGTCCTCAGCAGGTCGTGAGTAATCCCTTCACCCTGCTCTCAGTGCCGATGTGTGGTCAAGCCTGGCTGGAGCAGGGTCCTGGCTCTCAGCACTGTGGACATTCAGCCACGTTCTTGGGGCTCAGGGCAGCTCTGTAGGATTCTGAGGGTGTTACAGGCCTCTCCTATCTAGATGTCACTAACACCTCAGACAGGCAACTTGAAATGTCTCCTGGAGTAAGAGTGTCATGACTGGCCAGAGCAGAGATTTCCAGAATGTTCTTGGGGGGGCGGGGCTTGTACAAACATCATTCTAGTGGATTACACTCTCAGGCACGGAACAATGTGATCATGGAACAGCAGCGGAGGGTGAAGGGCATCCGGACCCCACTGCTGCTGCCTTTCTCCTCCACACACCTCCCCAGAGAGGGCAAGGAGGATTTAGAACTCGAGAGAGTAAACTCTGGGATCTCCGAGTACCGGTCTACCTCCGCCCTGGTACTGTGTGATTTAGACCCAAGACTCTCCCTTCAGGCCAGCTCCCTCCTTCCCCACCATGAATTAATTAGTCCATTAATTGATGAAGACATGGATTAATGGATGCTAGAAAGTGCCATCTGCTAGCTGCTGCAGTGTGTGCTCTGCCGATGACATCTTACTTAGGCCTCCTAACAACAGCTAGTATTTTCTCAGCGGAAGCTCAGTGTCATATGCTGTACGTCCCCTAGTCATTTCATGGACACTTCTCAGCTTCCATGCAGGAAACCTAAGATCAGTTCTCAGACAGGACACCTCGTGCACAGCCACTGCCCATCAGTCAGGGGGACATCCTGTGTTGCTCTAACACTAAACAGCTGTCAATGAGTTTCCACAGGAAGATGGTCGAGGAAGGAGCCTAGAAATGTCCTCCTGAGAATGTGCACAAGCCTAGCAATGTGCTCCTGAGAATCTACAAGAAACAACAAAGTCCACTCACTGGCATCGGGTCAGAGCAGACCCGCCGCTGGCCCTCCCATGGACTTTCAGAGGCTGTAAACCACACGGGAGAAGATGGCCCATCTTTCTCCTTGGAGCAGCGGGTGGATTCAAACTGTTGCCTCTGTGTTGGCAGCACACTGTCTCATCCACGAGGCCACCATCCGTGCCATGGTCAGATCTGGAGCTGACCAAGACTCGGCTGGACTTGGTTCCACAGTGCAGCTGGAGCTGACTCGACTGCAGTTAACGTCTCCATTTAGAAAGACGCATGGACGTTGGGGTGAGGGCCGGGTGCAGTGAATTGGTTCTAACTGATAGCAGCCCGGGCTCAGCATCTTTACATGCTCTGCTTCCGGTGAGTTCATTGCTGCAGATCCTGTTTGTGCATTTTGTTGACAGTCTTCTTTTTCTTTTTTTAAAAATTTTTCTACTAGTTTATTTACAAAATTCGAATAAAAATTTGAACAAATTCTTTCCATTTCCCTCATCCTCCACCCATCAAATTGTGCAACCCGAGGATTAATCTCCCCTTTCCCCCTGCACATCCACATCCCTCTGCTTTCTTGCTGACTGTCCACTTTCCCAAGCCTGGTGTCCTTCTCCAGAGGCCAGTTCCTCCTGCCAACACGCCTAAAAAGTGCACGGAAGGAACCTGCACTATCACTGCTACTAAACTTCTTCTAAGACTGACATGTTCCTCCTTCTGACCACAAAACCCCACGGTGCTGAGTCGGTTCTAAGTCGTGGTGACCTCCAAGTAGAAGAACACCCACCTTTCTCCAGGATTCCAACCACCAGCCTTTCAATTAGCAGGCCAACACGCTATGCCGGGCACCACCAGCACAGTCCACAGTATATTGTGTTGTCAACCCCATAATTCAAGGGCATCAGTTCATGCTTTGTTGATCTCATGCACGTTGTGTGCGCACGCGCGCGCGCACACACACACACACACACACACACACACACACGTCAGAGAAGTGCCTTGTTTGCCCTCAGCATTCCATGTCAGCTAAGCCAGCCTGGACTCCAAGCCGATAACAGATCTACTGCGATTTCCCACCTCTGAAAACCCGCTGGAGGGTGGGCTATGAGTTAGCTCCAGGTGGATGGTACACGTCAACACCAGGGCAGAGGGAGGGCGAGTGCCTGAGAGTCACTGTTAAGCGGACTCTGGGGCCTGGTGAGGCTGTGTGCTCCAGGAAACAACTGCTCCTTTGGGTCTCCTTTTCTGTCGTCCTGACGCCATGACAGTTCAGCAGTGGCTACACAGAAGCCTGGAGTCGGAGCCCACTTGGTGGCTTTGAGGGAAATAGTCCTGGTGACCAGCTTCTGCTGTGAAGACCACAGCCCAGGAAATCTATAAATTTATAGGTCTGGCAAACAAAGATGGTTCTGGATTAGGGCACCTTAGCAAGAGATGCTGGACAGTCACTTAGCAAGTGGAGAGGGGCTGGCAGCAAGCAAAAAGACCTATAAAACAAGGCAGTTCGGATCCGTCACGTGGAGTCGCTGTGAGTCAGCGTGAACTCCACAGGACCCAGCAAGAGGATCACCAGGTCCTGTCTTCCGCAGCACCCTG